GCATCAGGAAGTCATCTTCCATACACTCTAGAAATCTCCTAGACTGCTGCCTCTGCACTGTATTATATTTCCAACATAAATCAGGGGTGTTTAAATCGCCTATGAGGTAACAGCTTCTGCTAGCTCTTTGTAGAATGCCTCATCTGTCTTTTCATCCTGGTTAGGCAGTCTGTAACAGACTTCCACCTGGACGTGTGCCCTGTCAGCCCTTCTGTTGATCCTTACCCTTAGAGACTCAACCTTATCATTCCCAGCCCTGAGCTTAACATCAAAACTCTCTAATGTGGAGAGCCACACCACCACTGTTCCTTCCTTGCCTATCCCTTCTGAAGAGCTTATATCCATCCATTACTTTACTCTAGCTGTGGGAGGATTACACCATGTTTCAGTAATGACAGCTAAGCTACAGTATGCCTGTTACATGATGGCTTCCAACTCCTTCTGTTTGTTGCCCATGCTGTGTGCAATGGCATAGTTGCACTTCATCTGAATTCCTTATCTCATCCCCAAACCCATCATTGTTTGTCTAGGCTTATCTCTAGTGGGCCTGGTTTTATCCCCTGCACCCTTTATCTTGTTTAAAGCCATCTCAACAAACTCTGCCAGGTCCTGGGCTAGGATCCATTTCCTCCTTTGAGACATCAGCAGCCATCAGGCCAGGCACTGACTAAACCATCCCATGGTCAAAAAAACCTAAGCTCTTGCTATTGCACCAGCCTCTCAGCCATGCATTTATGAGATGAGTTTTCCTGGTCCTCTCAAATATCCCTTCCTGCCACTGTAGGGATAGAGGAAAATACCACCTCTACATCTGCTCCCTCTTTGTCACTAACTATCCCAGTACCCAGAAGTCCTTTTTGGTAATCCTCAGGTTCTCTCAGCGCTGGCCTGAATTGACAGTAAAGGATAATAATCAGAGGAGTGAATCAGACTAGCGAGTTTCCTAGAAATATTACAGGGAGGCAGCACGCTTCCTTATGGTAATGTTCTATGGTAATGTCTGGAGAATCACATTATAATGAATTTTAAAAGGCATAGCATTTTGAAAACTTGTGTTTCTCTCCAGAAGCAAACTATGTAGCAAGGATTATACATTAGTCTTTGTTTGTTCACTAATATTTTTTTTTTCTGGTCTTGATGCATAACAGCAAATGAGCATGTAGGATTGGTGAAAAATTTTCTTTGAACATCTGGGAACCTTTACCTGAAAGCGATTTAAAGGAAGATGAAGATACTGTTTGGAGTGAATCTTTTGTAGTTGTTGTTATGTGACTGAAAAGCTAGTAATTCTTCCAAATATGAGTTCTATGTTCCTGATCACCTTCAGAATTGTTTTTTAATCACGTGGGTTACAACCAACAATGTGATTAGTGATGGGACTTGGTGCACCAACTTTGACAGGCAGCTAGTTCTAGAAAGGCTCCATGATGATCAGAGAGAGTATCATGAAAGATTAGGTAAGCTGCAAGTACTATGACATAATTAGAAAGTATGCAGTCCAAAAACTGTAAGATTTAGATATTAGTGATGTGTGTAACCTCCTGAACAGAAGCTTATTTCTTTGCTATCCAAATTATAGTTGTACAGTGAGCAAGTGAAACCATTTCACATGGGGGAGTAGAGGGAGGGAAAGTATTTTTGAAACTTAAAATTCTTAAGGTGACTAAGTCAGTGTTAATGTAATGCATTTTGTAGTTGCTTGCATTACAAAGGATATGAAAAAAATCATTTGAAAGGAAAGGAAAAAAAAGGTGTTAAAAGTGCTAACACAGTTTGTAAAAACTTATTCTATACTCAGTGCCTTCTACCACTAAGAAAACTAATATAACCAATCCTTAGGTTATCATGAGTGGTCAGGATGACTTTATAAAAGAGAAGCTATGGACGTATTGTTTATGGGTCTATTTGTTCTTCGTAGAGTCTTTAATTCACATGGTGTTACCTACTTGTCATTTATATTTGGCATTATCTGGATCATCATCGGTCAGTAATGATAGAATGACCTTCAGAGGAAAGTGTCTTTTTATCTCACAACCTTTGTATGTTCTTGTCATACATGAAATTTGATCAAGGTTCTTTTACTGTTACCGTGGAAGTTCAACAACAGAAAGTCAGTTGTTTTTTTTCCCTCACGAATTAGTACACAGCTCTACATTTAGACTGGAAAGCTACTTATATATTTCTTTATTCTAAAAGAATATTATGGCAGTGGAGTCATTCACAGAGGTCACTTCCAATGATCATCATATGTTTCACTATACTGACATCATTTACCTTCTCAGCTTTGCAATCTTGACTGTTTCAGCTAACATATCATATCTGTCTGTCTATTCTTTCCATAAAAACATTTTTTTTATTGTCAAAAAGTCTCGTGAGAGCTTTGTTCTCAGATGTATAATGCTTTAAGTCTGTGCCGATAGGAAATATTCCAGGTTTACTTCAGTAGCAGTAGACAAAATTTTTCTGTCTAATGAATGATGTTTTGTCTAAAGTCTAAGCATCCAACAGTGTGGTATGTGTTCACTGTGTGATACGTATTCAAAACTATTAACATCTGTGGTACAATTAAACTCATCCAGAATACACATTTTTTCCCCTAATTGCTTCAAAATCTAGGTATTGTACTGCCTACATCCATTTATTGCCAAAGGCTTAACATCATTTTTAGATATCTTTGAATATCTTAGAACATACACATTTAAAATGCAGCTTATAGACTTTATCTTCAATACCTTCAGGGGGAAGATAGCTATTCGTAGTGCTGCCTAGCAGAGGGAAGACTGTACTTCTTCATTTTCTAAGAATGCTGAATGTAATGTACTGAAATCCTTCTGACCTCCAACTCCAAGTCAACTCAAAGATTAAACAAGATTAAGACAAAAAAACAAAACAAAACAAAAAAACGAAAAAACCAAAACAACCTCATCTGCACTCATCTGGTGCTGCAGTGTTATTTTTCAGCATGAAAAAAATAATACCAAATCAGAATGATCTTGTCATATTTATTTAAAAGTTTAGGCAGGGAAGAATCATATCTTTGTCCATCTTTGAACGATAGAGAACAATAGAACAATAAGCATTTCAATATTTCAGTTTCAGAGATATTCATTTAAGTTATTCAAGAGTAAAGATGTCAGTAAATCCTCTTTGAAAAGTTTTGAGCTGCCTCTAATATTTGTAGACAAAATGCAGCCTCTGTTTCCACCTAGTGGTATTCATTACCTTAAAGGAAGTAAATCGCTAACAATTTCTGCTATGCTGAGACAGTCTTGTAAGTTATTGTCTAAAGAGATGATAATTAGGATATGTGTGTGTGCGCACATCTACATGCATATCAAGAACAGAAATCTGGTGGAAGGCAAGTGAGAGAGCTTTGTAGGATGCAGCCAGGACTTTGGTATTATGCATCTAATTTGAGGAGGTAAAATGAAGCAGCAGAAAAGTGTTGAGAATCAGGATAAATCAAAACAGGGCTTTCCAACATTGTAGATATTGGCAGAAAATAGAGTTTGTTTCTCATGGTCAAGGAGAACTGTGTAAGATACCCAGCATTACATATGCATCTCACAGAATATACTGTTAGAGAGAGGAACTAATGTATAGCAGTCTGCAACGTTGTCAGTAAGGAAACAACTTTCATTTGAACTGAAGCTTTGCAGGATTTACCATTATTTCTTTCATTTACAGACCAGTACGTTGTTTAATAATTAATATTTCTTAAAATATCTACTATACATTTAAGCTGCAGAATAAATCTGCTCACTTATTTAGTAGTGTTTCTTGAATGAAGCATATGGGGGTCCTGTCTTCCAATAAATTTTTGAATGTTTTTAGAAGTACTGACTTACGATGATCTAAAACAGAATGGCTAACAATACCTCAGTCACCTCTTTCTGAAGATTGGTATTTCCTAGTGGGTGAATGGGATCAGAGAAATGTTTCCTCTGTTTAAACAAAAGCAGGCTGGAGCCTGTTGGTCCATCCTCTTTTTGTTTTTCTTTCTTTTTTTTCTCTTGGTTTCTTTTCCTTTTTCTTTCTTTCTTTTTTTTTTTTTTTTTTTTTTTCTTTTTTATTTTTTTTTTTTTTTTTTTTTAAGTGTAAGTTACTTGCCTTTCAAAGTTTTTTCTGGGCTAATAGTTATGGGGAGCTGTTTTAATTTGAGGAAAGAAAAAATTAAATGTGCTGAATTGAAGAATGTTTTTAATGAAAAACGTCCACTTTTAAAATTTTTTGTAGATATGCTCAAAGTCTGGAATTACCACATGTAGAAGTAAATATTTGTACATTTAAAAAAATGAGAAAAAATAAAGAGGTGAGGTATTGCAGAGAATGGTAAAATAATGCCTTAAGACAATTAGTATTTTGTAGGTATTAATGGGGAGATGGGAAAGGGGTAGAGTGAGCTTACAAAAAAAGTGTCAGAGTCAAGCAAGAAGGAGAGGCACATTGATCTTTTAATATGGTTTGTATTTTCACCTTTGTATGGAACTGTAAGGTAGGGGAACACCCCTAAACTACATTTGTTTTGTTCTTTTTTCTTTTTTTTTGTCTTTCTTTTTAAAAATAATTGTTTAAAAATATATGTCTGAAATGACTAGTATCTATCCCCTGATCCTTCATCATTGGACCCTATGAAGATTCTTTTTTATCTTTTCTTTTTCTGCAGTCAATTTGCATACATCCACTATTTTTAATAGATGATATTCTAAATCTGCAGGTACTTTTTTGTGTGTGTGTGGTTGTGGGTTTTTTGTTTCATTTTCTCTGAAATGATCCCTTCTCCACCTGCAGTTGCCAAAAATCCCTAGGAAGTAGAGTGCTACTATCTGGATTACATCTTGATCTAGGAATAATGTGCTTCCTACCAATCTCATTTAGATCTTTTGTGAACACAGATATATTTACAAATACACATTAAAAATATGTAGGTTATATTTAGTGTGTTTTTATATAAACATGAAACAACATAACTGTTCAGTTTTTCTGAATTATTATTCTAGGATCAAGACCACCTTTAATCCTACAATCTCAGCCTCCACCTTATTCATCACCTAGAGATGTTCCCCCAGACATATTGTTAGATTCTCCAGAAAGAAAGCAAAAGAAACAAAAGAAAATGAAGTTAGGCAAGGATGAAAAAGACCAGACTGAAAAAGCTGCAATGTATGATATCATTAGTTCTCCTTCCAAGGACTCCACTAAGCTTACATTAAGACTCTCTCGTGTAAGATCTTCGGATTTGGACCAGCAGGATGATATGCTTTCTGGTTTGGAAAACAGCAGTGTGTCAGAGGGTGATATTCCTTTTAATGTGCAGTACCCAGGACAGACTTCTAAAACACCCGTTACTCCACAGGATGTTAACCGCCCACTAAACGCTGCTCAGTGTTTGCCGCAGCATGAACAGACAGCTTTCCTTCAGGCACAACAAGTGCCTGTTTTACAACAGAACACTTCAGTTGCTGCAAAACAACCTCAAACTCCTGTGGTACAGACACAGCAACAGGTTTCGCAACAAGGAACTATAACGTCATATGATGAAGTAGAATTGGATGCATTGGCTGAAATTGAGCGGATAGAACGTGAATCAGCTATTGAAAGGGAGCGATTTTCAAAAGAAGTGCAAGATAAAGGTAAAAGGATTGTGTGTGTGTATACACTATATATTATACCAGTATATATAAATAGATATATATATATATGCCTGCAAAACTCATATATATATATATATATATAAAAAAACAAAAAACAAAAAACAAAACAACTTCCTTTCATTGTCACATAGTTCAATTCTGTTTACTCAGTGTAGGTTCTTATACAACATTCATCTCCATTCCCCTCCAGCAATGAACTGTAATCTCTCATATATGCATATTTTTAGTAGCCGATTTTCTTTATTTGGGGTCTTACTGTGTGGAAAGTGAAGTTCTTATGTTTCAAAATTCTTTCTAACCTATTCTTACTTGAACCATGGGACTGAATGAAGTACGATTAACATCGTTTATAAAGTTTCTAAAATCCCAGCAGTACCATAAGTCAAAATTAGCAGTAAGTTGTGATAGCTGAATTATTCATGCCGATGTTACCTACTATAAGAAAATACAGAAAAAACTTTACTCCCATCTGTTGATATTCCCATTTAAACCTAATCTGAAGGAGATGTTAGATTATAATCACATCTACTCTTTTCAAGCCACTGTAATGATTGATTAAAACATACCATGTTGTATCCAGTGTTCACCTGGATTTTTGTTGTTATTATTCATTATTATGCAGGTATTATAATTTTTAGAGGAATGCCATATCTGCATGATCTCTCTGATACCCTGATCTCTCAGATGAGCCTTTGAAATGTTTTCATTTCAGTGGCTATACTTTTTGATGTAACTGACTTCATTTGAATCTATTTTATTTTTTTGCTTTTATGTGGTGGTTTGATGGTCTTTAGGCTTCAAAAATCTCAAAGTGGATTCAAGATACATATGTAAATCTTCAAATTAAGATTTATTTTATAAATGAGATATGTTAATGTGAGTATTTCTCAAAAGCTTCCTCTACACTGTGTTTAACTTCCGAGAAAAAAAAAAAAAATCAGGTATAATAATATAATGCAAATTTACTAGATAATTTCAGGAACAATTTTGCAGATGTGTAAATTGAGCAAATTCTAATTTGAGAAGCTTGTAGTTGGAAATGGCTGATTTTGGACATACTTGCAAGGATGCAACTATTTTTATATAGAGTTTGGGTTTTAGCCAGCAGAGATAGCATGTTTTCTCCCCTCCCAGGGTGTTTTTTTTTGTTTTTGTTTTTGTTTTTTATTCTATTTTATAGGTATCAGTAAGGAGAGAGAGTGTGTATATAAATATAATTGCTGAGGTTATTAAAATTTTTAACTTCAGATATTCGTCATTTGGTAACTAATTCAAGTCTTGTTAGAAAATGTTTGTCAATCTATGTAGAAAATCTGTGCTCACTTCAAGAGATCTTTCCTGCATTTAATTTTGTTTCAATGAAATTGATCATTTTTGTGCTCAGTTTATATCATCTTGTGATCAGTAATTTTAAATTTATTCATGGAGAGCTTGGGGTCTGTCTCCTAACATTTTTTCCACTACTTTTACTTTTGTAGTTGTAGGTAGATTGAACATGCTTTAGACAAGAAACATCTGGAAAAATGCAGTGTATTTTTTATGGTGTACTGTAGCCTTCAAAACAATCAAACAAGGCTAAAACTCTTTTTTTTTTCTGGCTTTCAAGAAATTATATACTTAACTTGTGAAGTTTGTATGCCATTATTACATAGCCACAGGTAGACTGATTTGTTTCTCTTTGGGGAAATAAGTGTTTTTTGTATGATGCAGTCTCTCTCCTTCGCCAGTGCTTGATAACTATCTCACGAAATAAGTGTTTCAACTTTATGCTTCACTTGTACCTGCATCCTCTGCTAGATCTCAGTTCTTCCAGAATTCCTGCAATTGTTATGGATCAGGTAGAGGAGTTACTGCCTTATTTTGGGATAAATAATCACCATTTATTGACTGGTCTTAAGGTGCTTCAGTCCAGATAGAAACTCTTTTCTCCCTGACTGCCAGAGTTTTAGTCACGATTAAAGTTAAGTACAGAGTACAAAGATTTTTACCAGTTTCATGGCAGGTTACTTGAAAGCCTCTTACCTTAGAGAAATACAGTTCTTTTTTTTTGTAACGTTTTTGCATTTTTGTCGTTGCTAAGTTGGTCCTATCCTTACATGTTGGTATGCTCAGGGATTGTTCAATACTTTATTTGTTTGGTTTGGTGTGAGATCAAGAAAGCTCTTCTATGGCTCCTATCAAAATTTGTCTGTTCAAAATATGTCCTGTACCTCCTAAATTTGTTGTGAAGTTTTGAGAAGCTGCTTACTGTGTTGATGCAAAAAACCTCACATTTGTGCACTTTAGAGCATTTATTACTAATTCAGATCATATTATGTCCAGAAAACAAGCAAGTGTAGCATGTATTTGGACTAAGTACAGCCGGATGGCATAGCATAAGTGATACTGTACATAGCAAGCAAGCATCCCTCTAGTGCTTTTATTGTAGATATTAGCACATGCAGAAATCTGCATGGAAGTGTCTTTGATGCTTTTGTGATTGACACACGGGAATACATACTACAGTCATGTTACACTTTTTGTGTATGCAGTCTTTGTTGCCTTTCGTAAGTACTTTGAGTAGAATTGTACTCTCTCAAGTTCTGGTAGCAAATCAGTGATCTCTTCTGTCCATTGTTTAGACATGAAATCTCTATAGTGCAGTGCTTCATCAAAGATATTCAGATGCTTCTTTTTAAAACAATAAGGTTTTAGATGGAATGCCATTTTTTTTTTCTGAGGTTTGGAACTGGCAGTGTGGTGGAACTGTTCTAGGCAAGAAGCAGAGATGGTTTTCTGGGAGTTCTTGTTAAAAATTACACAACCTCTACTCTTGATTAAGGCAATGTTACAGGAGGACCTTAGCACTAAAAGAGGACTTCTAATATTTGGAAAATAGGGATTTAGGGCTCTTTGGAAATTATAGTAACTTCTGCAGTATAACCCCTTACTCATTCCCCCCCATATCTAAATAAAAACATCAGAAATTTTTAGCCGAAGTCTCTCAAAATGGGAGGCCATAGAGGGAACACTACGTTTTGCGGAGGTGCCTTCTTTTATAAAAATCAACATACTTTTTTTCTGGAGCCTGATTCTCACGCTTTTGCTTTCTGAAAAAGAGCAGAAATCACTTATGCAAAATCTGGCTGATTTTTCTTAGTGTCTATCAGGTACGCATAAGGACAGGTAATACAAGATAGAACTCTTGTCTCCATATATGAGTGCTTTTCAGTACTCTTGTTTTTACAGTTCTATCCTTTCAGTGTATTTGATTTCTTGAATTTGAGTGGTTTAATTGGTTTTATCACAGTAAAAGGGTACAAAGTTTGGAAGATTCATTTTGTCCTTTTCCTCTGTGTGGAAGGACAAGATTACACATCTTCCTTCTACTTCCAAAGAATTCTCTTGGTACGGACTAATTTTGCAAGCAACTTGTATGTATAGTTAATGAAAGGACTAATTGGAAATTTTGAATATCAGGGAAACACCAGAAGTTTCATTCTAATATGCTTGTTATGCCTGGCTGCTTTAGAACAAAGTAATAACTGCTCAGGTCTTTAGTTCCTTTTGCCCTTCTCATAATGGCCTCTATATCCCCATCAGATACAAGTTGTCAGTAAATCTAGGTCATTTCTTCTGTTTTGAAAAGGTATATAGTATCATGGTTGATCCAGGTGCTGTTTATCAAGACTTGGATTATCTAACTAGCCATAGTTTGGGTGATTCTGAAGCGCTAATAATCTTATAAGAGTATTATCTTTTTCCACAACAGTAAACAAGAAGTTAACCATCCTCTGCTTAGGTACAACAAGATATTCTTCTCTTGTAATCACCGTTAGTGGCCACATTTCCTGCAGTACTTTTTGCTTTTGAATGCTTCTTAAAAAGAGTGGAGATCCCTGTTCTTGAATCCATGTTGTTCACATATCTACAGTTATAAATAATTCGGATTCTGAAATTGACAACACTAAGAGAGTACAGGAAATCCAACAGATTTTTAGAAACTTCTTTCCCAATAATTTCTGTGCTTCTTGGTAATATTTCTTTGCAGACAAGAAGGGTGGCATTCAGTGAGAAGTTTTGTTTTGGTAACCTCGGTATGAACTTGTCTTTTGGAGCTGTTCAGACACAAATGGATTATTTTTGTGTATATTCAAGCAGATTCAAAGCTGGTAATCTAAACTTTTCGCTCTTCATGTTCTTCAAGATTTAGTCCTATTCCTGAATTAATTTTCATGTTCAAAGTTTCTACCTCCAAAGCTTTCATGCTTTTTTTTTTTTTTTTTTTTTTTAAATCGCATACTGCAAACCAACATTATGTAGAATTTGTAAGATAGTAGTGCTAAAAGGAGCCCTGAATCTTTCAGAAAGGGAAAATAGTCTTGAAAATTACTTGGAAAAATATGCAGAGAGGAGCCCATCTTTTTTCGTAGACTCTTTCTTCAATTGCACTAGATTTTTTAAATTTCAGATTTGTTTACTTTTAATTTAAGCTATTCCATACATGGTATTTTCTGTTCACTGTTAGATTTTTAGGCCAGTTCCAAGAACTGTTTCTATAATGCAACATTCATAAGAGACTAAGTAAAATGTTAATTGCTAACTGTTTTACTGGAGAGGCTAGTGCATGGTGGTTTTTGAAAGGAGTTAAGAGTATTAGAAACATTCTTTGAAATAAGACATACTCATATCTATGGTTCTTTTCTGTGTATGATTTACATCTGAGGATTCATTTTACCCACTTCTTTGGGATCTTAATTTAGATGCTTTAAATTAGGAAGAAATAAAGCTGTAATAATTTTATTTCCACTAAGTGGATCAGTTAGGGGGCATTTGGATGCCTGCTACGGGCCCTTCTGTTTTAAGTTCATTCCTAGCCCATAGCAGCAGAGACACACATCACAAGAGTGTGAATCTGCAGGAGCAAAACTATCAAAACTACAGTTATAGGTAAGTAAGCTTTTCCTCTAACCTTTTAAGTTCTTATGCAGCTCCTCTCC